AACAATACTCCAAAGAATGTCTGATCTGAGCTTTATAAACCATCAAAAATTGCTGAGGTGTTTTCTAGTCCGAAACAGTGTTCCAAGCTTCTGAGAAGCAGCCTTTGCAATTCCAGCGACATGATTGTGCCAAGACATATTGATGTCCATGTTAACTCCCAACAAACTTATCGAAGCAGAAATCGAAATTGTCTGACCTGACATATTATTATATCCGGTTCGGAGACATTTATCTTCTTGGAGAAAACTGATGTCTGGGTTTTTGTGGCATTGAATTGGATCATAAATGCATTATGTTTGAGCGCTAATTCACCAGTGAAAGCCTAAAAGCCGTAGGAGTAGACTGTTATATTGCTCTAGTTTGAGCTGTATCATTTTATTTATTTATTTGAATAGGTCTTGAGCTACTGGTGTTTGAACGGTAACAGTTTCTTTCTCTTCTTCTTGAATACCAAGTTCAGAGCAGCACTAGCCATGACATCGGAAAGTACTCCCTGAAGGAAGCTGAACTATTTTGCGATATAAACACTTCAAAATCAAAAGTTCACAACTAGTATTGAACATTTTCTTGTTACTTGGGTGCCGTTTGACTGGTACATTTCTTCCAAGCCTCCAGGAAACAAGTTGTGCTTTTGTTGTATTACCTGCAGCTGAGGTATCCCTCATACAGCCCCATTTGATTCAGGTTTCCTCTGAATGGGCAATGTCCAGTAAGTAGATATAAAATTATTCTTAGTGGATCTTCATAGTGTTAAAGCAGAACTTTCAGTTCACTGTTTCGACTTGTCTGTTCATCATGAGTTTCTATCGAGCATGTTTTTAGGATGACTGTTCAAATATCAAGAGTGCAGTTTTGCCCGGTTGTTCAAAGGTCGGTTGATTTTCTAGTGTAGACCAGTCCACTATTCCTTTCCACATTATCACAAAGGGCTAGATTCAAGAATGTTTCCAGTGCTGTTTTCATTGTTCTCGTCATTTCCAAACGAGCAAGTTTAACAAAAATGGTAACTTTGGTGTTCAAACCAAAGAAGCACATGCCGTCATGGGTTCAACCACCATTGATTATATTCAATATATCATGTCTGGTTTTAGCCTCCATGTCTTTCCGTTAGTAAGTCTAGTCAGAAAGAGTACTCAAACAGTGAGCAGCCACAGTTCGTCGCATATTTTTGATACTTTCACCCAAATTCAAAATCATATCTAGATCCTCATTAAGATATGCAACCTCCTACTGCCGGTGAAGATGTGCCTCTGTAGCCGATGTCCTGAAATCCAAATGGAATGACGAAACAAGTGTGCTTGGTTTTTTCCAATAAGTCGTTGATATAGATTAAAAATATGGTTGGAGACGATATGGATCACTGGGGAACACCAGCGTTGATGGTGTCTCTCTTCAGTCATTGTATTGCGTAGATATGTTTTTAAACAGCATAAAGCTGAAGAAGTTCTCTTTGCTGAACTAGCAGTCACGAGAAGAGTACACAACAGCTGCAGTAATATCCTGATGTTTGGGAGAGAATCGGCAAATTTGTGAGCTTGCGTCGGGTGTCTATACTAAAACCAATAATGATTGAGAGTAGTAAGCCCAGTTGACAGCAAATCGGGGGCGTGCTTATTAATTTTTGAGAGGGTTACGAATGAAAGAAAAATTCTTAGTACAATTAGTTATCAGTGTTCCAAGCTTCTGAGAAGCAGCCTTTGCAATTCCAGCGACATGATTGTGCTATGACATATTGATGTCCATGTTAACTCCCAACAAACTTATCGAAGCAGAAATCGAAATTGTCTGACCTGACATATTATTATATCCGGTTCGGAGACATTTATCTTCTTGGAGAAAACTGATGTCTGGGTTTTTGTGGTATTGAATTGGATCATAAATGCATTATGTTTGAGCGCTAATTCACCAGTGAAAGTCTAAAAGCCGTAGGAGTAGACTGTTATATTGCTCTAGTTTGAGCTGTATCATTTTATTTATTTATTTGAATAGGTCTTGAGCTACTGGTGTTTGAACGGTAACAGTTTCTTTCTCTTCTTCTTGAATACCAAGTTCAGAGCAGCACTAGCCATGACATCGGAAAGTACTCCCTGAAGGAAGCCGAACTATTTTGTGATATAAACACTTCAAAATCAAAAGTTCACAACTAGTATTGAACATTTTCTTGTTACTTGGGTGCCGTTTGACTGGTACATTTCTTCCAAGCCTCCAGGAAATAATACTCCAAAGAAGGTCTGATCTGAGCTTTATAAAGCATCAAAAGTTGCTGAGATGTGTACAGTTTTCTTGTTCGGAACAGTGTTCCAAGCTTTTGAGAAGCAGCCTTTGCAATGCCAGTGACATGAGTGTGCCAAGACATATTGGTGTGTATTTTAACCGCCAACAAACTTATCGAAACAGAAAGCGGTTTAGGTACTTTCATCTTTTTGGATAAAACCGATGCCTGGGTTTTCGTATCAATGAATTGAACTCAGTTACTTTCACCCCAATCTCTAGATCCTCATTAAGATATGCAACCTCCTGCTGCCGGTGAAGATGTGCCTCTGTAGCCGATGTCCTGGATTCGAAATGGAATGACGAAACAAGTGTGCTTGATTTTTTCCAATAAGTCGTTGGTTGGTTGAAGTGCCTGTATAGCTGAGAACTGGAGAGCCGGGCTCGAATTCCGACCGAGTCACATCGACAATTCAGTTTTTCTTTCATATGTCTGCATACCGCAAATGCAATATTACAGACCGACACCGAATTCCAGACCAGCAGCATGCCTTGATGAATTTGTTGTTATTCATACAAAAGAGATGTGTGATTCGTGTCATTAGTGCATAAACATTTGGTAAATTTTCTTCACGAATTTACAGGAATTCAGAGTATCAGAAGGTCTGTCCTCGGACCACGACTACCGTCTGCCCGTGACATCAGTGTGAAAATTCACGGTGAAAGTAACAATGAACTGAAGAGTGTCACGTTGATGTTCATGCAGTGGGGACAGTTCATCGATCACGACATCACTTCTGTCGTGAAGTCGAGAAGTTTCAATGGGTCAATACCAAGATGTTGCGATGGAGGTGGGCGGAGAATGTTACCTCCTGAACTAACAGTAAGTAGTGGTCTAATTACAGCGATAGTAATTTATATATCACGATAGATGTGGTGACTTAATTAGTCCAAAGAAAATCTATTAGGGAATGTGCAAAATCATTTGGATGCAGAGTCTACGGCCCAATCATTGATTATAAAGACAAACGGAGAATTCAGGTTGCTCAAAATGATATTTTTCTATAAACCCAAATGTAACTGAAGTGCTGGCGGAACAGCACAACAAATTAACCAAAATAGTATTGATGAATGCACTGTTCGATGTTGGTTTGCAAAATTTCGTACCGCCTCAGAGATGAGCCCCGAAATGATTGGCCTACAGTAATATAAGACGAGGATTGGACGACCTTGGTGGAGACTGACCCATCACAAACGATGCGTGGGATGGCGGAATAGCTGGACGTCAACACCCGTTTTTGATTGTTTACGTATTTGAAAGGTCGTAAAGCTCAAAAAGTTGGTGTCCCACGATTTGAACGATCGACAGAAATTGTCACGTTTCAAAGTCTGTTCTTCCTTGCTTGTGCGCGACCAAAATGATCCTTTGGATCGGATCCTCACGTGTGATGAAGAGGAGACGTTCGGGACAGTGGTTGGACATCGATGAGCCCATCAGAAAAGACCATGATTACTGTACATATATTGGTCAGCAGCTCTGCTGACTCATGGCAGAATCCCATTGTGAGGAAATCGACGAAATGTACCGAAAATTGCGTCAGCTGCAGCCAGTACTGGCCAATAGAAGAGGTTTGATCTGACTCCACGACAACGCTCGTCCGCATGTTTCACAAATCACCATCCGAAAATTAAACGAATGGAGCGTCGAAGTTTTGCCTCATCCACCATACTCCCCAGACCTCTCGCCAACCGACTACCATCTTTCCAAGTAATTCGATATAGCTTTCTCACCGATAGAATATTCGCCAACCAGGACCAGGCAAAAACTGTCTTCGTCGGCTTCATCGAATTCTTAGCACCCAATTTTTATGTCGACGGCATTAATCGAGTTACGTTGGCTGATTCAAATGGCGCTCATTGAATTATTGAGTTTTGGCTTTGGTGCTGCAAATGCGCTTACGCCTTGGCTTTTGTATTACATCACGAGGTGATCTGCTATGTCCAGCCTCATTCCAAGCGGTAGATTGGGGTGGATATTTCAGTTCATCCCCAGCCACCGCTTTAAATTGACAGATTGGTTTTTGTGTTTGTTATTTCTGTTGTTGTGTTGCTTCATTCATATGTGTTCCCACGAGGAGTAAGGAAAGAGTTGGTCACCTATGGCAGAGCCCCGCATTACCAGAGGTAGGCTCATTGCATTGAGGTTTCGCCCAGTTCCCCAAGGGGATTGTTGGTAACTGTATATCACGCTGCGGCCATTCAGCTGTCGGCACGATTCCTTACACCTTAGCTTGGGTAGGCTGGTCCACGGTGGCATGTTTAGCAAATGCTTTTGGGGAGTTTTAGTTCCCCCACGATACTTATTTCTGCCACTATTCACAAGTCCGGCGACACCGTCCGTAAGGCCACATTAGCTTCTCGAACAGCCCACACAGCACTAGATATTCATGAAATATACCTGGAATATCTATTGCTATGTGGGAGGGCCTCCAGTCCCCTGTCCGTTCCCCTATCCGCCACCTGGGGACGCGCCCGATAGGTAGCCCAACCCATGCGTCTCCAGTTGATATTCTGATCTTCATGTTTATTTTCTTATTAGTCGGTGGTCTATGCTTGAAGACTGGCAGTGGTTGCACCGACTGAACATGCAAAAAATTTAGGTATCATCCTTGATTCAAATTCGAAATTCAAACATCACATCAATAAGTGCATCAGTATTGCCTATATGAACATCAAACAAATTTATACCAACAGACAATGTCTCAACAAAAAAGTAAAAACCATACTCTGTGAATCTCTTGTATTATCCANTGTTTGAAGTACGTGTTGGAAGAGAGAAGACGTGGTGACTTTTCCCTTCACTGCTAGTTTGTGTTCATCTTTGCGAATGTTGATTCGTCTGTTGGTCTGGCCGATGTAAGTCCTGTCACAATCATGACACGGTACGACATACACTCCTTGTGATTCCAGTGGTATCTGATCCTTGGGATCAGATCATTGGGATCAGATCCTTGGGATCTGATCCTTGTGGCACAAGTAGCAATGGGAACGTCGTGGATTTCAAATCAATTTATATCATATTAGACAATGGAAGTACAAACTGATGAAATGTACCATGAAACATTGTCAACCACCTTTAAACAAAGATTTAAGCCCTTGTACAATGAACAGAACAGATTGCACGAGTGTATATTTTATTCTCGGTTGAATTCATGCTGATATCTCAGAAAAATGCAGAAGAGTAATGAAACGAAAATAATTAGATGGAACGTAATGTACATTAACTATCGATGATAATTACAGTTCTGGAATATTTGCTTTGTTCACATCTATTAGATGATAAAAATTATAGAAAGTGTACCTATGCCACAAAATGTATAGTCATTCAAAATAATACATCTACAACTGTTGTTGAAGATATTCATACATTTTGTCATATATTTATTAATTCACATATATATTTGATGTATTCATCCAGTAATTTGATAATTTTCCGAGAATATTCTTTTACATTCAGCGACTTCTCTCTTTGATCCTCTCATATCGTATATCCGTTCGAATACTGTGGAGAGTTTGCGTGTATATAACTTGATCATAAACAACTAATAACATCGATTCAGGCATTTTATGAGTCTGTAATTCTTAGGAATCAACAATCTTTGTTTTTGGAGATTAAAACAATCCGCTCTTCGACAAACCAATCCGGAATCGGATGCTGTCCGTCAAGCCATCAGTTATCCTGACGAGATAGCGGTGGGTGCTAAGTGGGTGTTCAGCCCATCTGGGCCTGGAGCAGCAAAATTCTTGGAAACCACAAGAGCAGTGCATTGAGCTAATGCTTTCAAATCTCTCTACTGAAATCTACGAACTGCGCTAAGGCTGGAGTATCTAGGTTGAGTGGCACCTGGTGTCAATAAATGTACCTTCTCTTGATCAGAGGTCGGCGATATATCTACTACACGGAATGAGCGAGATGGCTTATCGCTTTGCTAGGGTTTCCGCTTCTCGCTCGCCCTACTAGTGATGTTTTAGCAGGTACTAGCATTCGTATGCTATCAAGGTTGTGCTGTTTAGTGGTCAGTAGAACGCCGTGTGCTAGATATGTCAAAATTTGGCAACTATTAGCCTTACGGCAGTCGTGTTGTGCCATATGGTCCACAAAGGCAAAAGTCCATGCTCTCTATTTGAATAGTGATTGAAAATCGGTGAACATCTCCGACAGTCAGGCGGCAATTAAGGCACTCAGACTGATGGGAAGCTAAGGGAAGGAGCTAAGAACCCAAAATAGGGTCACTCTAGCTTGGGTACCCGCACATGAGAGTCACAAGGGCAATGAGGAGGCCGATTTTCGAAAATATGTATAAAGACATCCATAAATTCATGCATGCAAGATGAATCGATAGATAGGTGGAATAAGCTCCCGGGAATGAAGCAGGTGGAAGAGTTCATGAAGAAACCATCGCCCAGATTCACGGAGGACCTGCTGAACCCCAACCGTAAGGTTGTAAGGGTAGTGGTGGGTCTACTAACGTGGCTTAGCCTACTCAGGAAACATATGAGCAACATGTGTCTGACAGAAGAAACTCAATGCAGGTTCTATGAAGAAGAGGAAGAAACCGCACTGCATGTGCTCTGTGAATGCGAAGCAATAGCAAGGCTGAGACACGCAAGATGCGGGGAAGGGAAACCAGAGGCTGCCAGCTAAATGAAGGAGTCAATGTCAAGGCTTTGGAGTCTCATCAAAGAGATCAAGCATCACAATAGATTTGAAAAGGTCGCAGTGAATCAGGCCATGGGCCAGCTTTCCGGCAATATAATCTAATCGGTGTACATCGTGGTGTTAATTCTTCACATCCAGATGAGCCAGTTCTTGTGGCTTCAGGAGCCTGTGTGTTCTGATTATCTCCACTGGGAGCAAGATGTGAATCTCCTCCCTAACTGCGCCAGTGGGTGGTGGAACTACTAATTCCACCATTTCGTTAAGAGACTGGGGAGAAGTTATATAGTCACCCCTCTGAAAATAAGATATATAACCCCTAAGGTTTTGAACGAAAAAGGAGGCAAGATCCGGGTATGTTCCATACATAGAGCATGCGTTCTCCCCATCTACCCTCTTTGGTCTGATCACTACTTTTATAGGAATGTTCAAGGCTATTTTTCAGCTCAAGTGTCCACTGAAAACGTACCTTTGTATCATTACCAGGGTTGTCTTCGGTAAGTAAGTCATCGTTATGGGTGTCACCACGTTGCACATCTGCCACTGGAGGGAAAGTAGTAACCTCCCTCTCGGACTGCCTCTCCGGTTTTTCACCATTTGTCCGGAAAAGTGGTGGTGCAACTCGCCAAAGGCTAGGTATTTAATTATTTTACAACTAGCCTCTCCAATTAGAATACATTTGTATGGAATAACTTGTAAACTCATGCATCTAAGTTTCAGAAATAATATAAGTAACATAATTCATAAATAATGCTACTCTGCTTGTTTTGTTTAAGCATCCATCTTGTCTACCAATCAGCGTGTCTTCGGATGACTGGTTTTTCGGAAAATTCGGTATACGTTGCATGGAATTCCTGCGGAGTGCACCTTCAACTAGGATCGACTGTGACCTTGGATGGAGGGAGCAGATCAACCAAGTGACACCTTTCATTGACGCTTCTACGATTTACGGAAGTGACATCGAAATATCTGATTCCATTAGAACATTCAGAAATGGTGAGCACTTGAGGAAGCTTAGTTTTGTGTAAGAGGTATTTCAAGAAACTATTTCAGGTGAAATTCAAAAATTGCCTCAACATTTTTTTTATTTTTAAGATTTTTGAGTTTTATGATCCCCCACAATATGAACAGAACTATTAATAGAAGAAACCAACAATGAGGAAATCACTCTTCTCAAATCCTTGTTGGAGAAAAAATGAGAACTTTTCATACTAACTTTGAAAGAAATAATTAGCATAAACATAAAAAACTTCTGGTTATTCTACGTATTATATGAATCTGAAGTCGATCTTGATAATTAATAGGAATTTTAGTCATGAATTTGTTCTTCAACAATTTTCAAATGTTTCACGATCCACTGATATCTTCAGAAACATGAAGAAACCTCTACAATTGATAACTTTGATAGTTCCATAAACTTCTTGAGATAAGGAAAAAAAATTATTCGAAAAATATCGGTAGTGATTAGCACAAAATAAAAGCCAATAAACTGTTATTTATATTCTAATTCACATTACAAAAACCAGATGAATTTTGATGAAGTCATCACATTTATAATACTAGTTGTTGCCTGTCACATTAAGTTTCGTGACAGACCATTTTAAACAAATAGTTTTTTCATCACTCCAAAACTTCTGGTTTCCAACTGACGAAATTCAATATAATCTTTAAACCCCCTTGGGGGAGGAAATTCCTCCTCCTGTGTATATATATATACACAAGGGAGAGGATGTCAACACTTGGTATTTTTTTTACATTACTCACTTTTCGAACATAAATCAATCCATCATTCATTCAATCATAATTGAAACAATCATTTTTCAATCATCAACTTACAAGTATATCAAGTATATGTTTAAATCTGTTGCAAATGTGAAACTAGCTATCTCATAGATACTACCATATTNTAAATATGATGTGTTGTTTTTCCGGGTGTTCATCCGTTGTGTACTATTCGATAGTCGACGTTTCGCCATCATCTCAGATGACATTATCAAGACGAGTTACTGCTTCGCTTCGAGAGATGTTACATCTCTCGAAGCGAATAGACAATAGCCAGAAACACGTGTCCGCGGTTTAACCCCCCCTTTTTATATATGTATGACAGTTGTATGAATTTTTATTAGAATTTGACAGATATTCTACAATGTACATTGTAAAAAAAGTATCCAATTCAATTGTATTATTGGCTCAGTATTTTGCATATAGTGGGTGCCACATAAGAGGTAGACTGACTTTAGTTTTATTTGCAAATTGTCAACTTTGACAGGTGCAGATACTTATAACATAACTTTTTTTCAACTTTTATTTCCTTAAAATTAGAGTATAGAGTATCAAATCTTTACATATTGCTCTTCAGAATAAATCTCGAAATCGACCGCATTAGCCTGGACAAAATTGCCTGTCTGCCATGTGCTCTATCAGAGAAATTTAGAGTTAAATGTGCATTGTTTGACATGGTGAGAAAGCAAAATAAACTGTATTTCTTATATTTCTGATATTGAATATGTCATCAACACAGGGAAGAGGATGTCAATACTTGGTATTTTTTTACATTACTCACTTTTCGAGCATAAATCAATCCATCATTCATTCAATCATAATTAAAACAATCATTTTTCGAACTAACAAGTATATCAAGTATATGTTTAAATCTGTTGCAAATATGAAACTAGCCATCTCATAGATACTACCATATGTTTGAGAATTTTCACCTTTAGGAAAAATTACTTATGGCCGAAACGATAACGGTGAAGCTTTACAACCTCCAGACCCACCTGGGGGCGAACTATGCCGAGCTGGAGCCCTCACGACTGACTGCTTTGAACCTGGAGATGGTCGAGTAACAGAACAACCCGGTTTGACTGCTGTGCACACAGTTTGGATCAGATTCCATAACAAAGTAGCTACCGTTCTTTCCAGAAACAATCCACATTGGAGTGATGAGAAGGTATGTTCAGTAGGATATTCAGATTTGAACTTTTTTTTATTTGTGACTATCCTGTGGAAGTTAATTTGAATTGTTTAGGTTAATACGTATTCCTACGCCAATGCAATATTTATTTCCACCCAAATTTTGAGCAATTTCATTCAATTACTTAGTAGTTTCAGCTTGTTTTGTACTATAATCATGGATGCCATTAAAAAAACTTCCTGCTTCTCTTCTCCAGTTGATATCTGGTCTGGTATCTGTAGAGTAGGGAGGGTAAGTGTAGACTCACATCACTTAGGCCACATGTGACCCATTGTACATCCTCCCGAGGAGTTGTCCTCCTAGGTCATCGTCCAACCTGTCCTTTCTAGGAAGGTGGACAGGTCACTGGGAGACATCTCTTTTATATTGGCAGGTGCAGGCCAAGACTCGCCGAACACACACTCTTTTTGATAACCTTGAGGTGTCTCACGGTGTCCTCCGCGAAGGTTTTGGAAGATGCAGAGATATTACTGTCGTTGCAATGCTTCTTCAACCTTCTTGGGGTTCTCTCCGTGGAGGTGCACAAGTGAGGGAGCTTTCCTACAGGAGCAGCCGGTTCTTTGCCTTTATTCAAGGCGGAGCTCTTGGCGCCCGCGGCAGGAAGTGCCTTTGCTATTGGAGGTGGAGTGGGTGGAGTGGGCCCTTTTGGCTTTGGTGCTGCAAATGCGCTTACGCCTTGGCTTTTGTATTACATCACGAGGTGATCTGCTATGTCCAGCCTCATTCCAAGCGGTAGATTGAGGTGGATATTTCAGTTCATCCCCAGCCACCGCCTTAAATTGACAGATTGGTTTTTGTTTTTGTTATTTCTGTTTTTGTGTTGTTTCATTCATATGTGTTCCCACGAGAAGTAAGGGAAGAGTTGGTCACCTATGGCAGAGCCCCGCATTACCAGAGGTAGGCTCATTGCATTGAGGTTTCGCCCAGTTCCCCAAGGGGATCATTGGTAACTGCATATCACCCTGCTGCTATTCAGCTGTCGGCACGATTCCTTACACCTTAGCTTGGGTAGGCTGGTCCACGGTGGCATGTTTCGCAAAGGCTTTTTGGGAGTTTTAGTTCCCCCACGATACTTATTTCTGCCACTGATCACAAGTCCGGCGACCCCGTCCGTAAGGCCACATTAGCTTCTCGAACAGGGCCTCCAGTCCCCTGGCCGTTCTCCTATTCGCCCAACCCATGGATCTCCAGTTGATATTCTGATCTTCATGTTTATTTTCTTATTAGTCGGTGGGCTATGCTTGGAGACTGGCAGTAAACAAATCTAAAGAAATATATTATATCCGACAGGCGTCAGTGGAGGAATCTTCACTGAAAATTTCCTGCATTTGCAATTGGCAATACAACTGAAAGAGTCGACCTTCAATTTTAGAACGGGCACACTTGCAGACCGGTTTCGGGCTCATCAGCCACTCATCAGTGCAAGATAGTGGCCATCATCGACCTAAAGTCAATGATATTTCTTAATTGAAAATCGGAATCCTTTCAGAGTATTTCATTCCTCTTCCTACATTGGAGCGAACAACAAAATGTCACTCCATCTAGCAGACGAGGTACTAACCAACTGCACACCCGTAATTTGCCCGATTCCTCTGAATAAGGAATTTTTTAAGATACTCTTACGTTTTTCCAGTGGATCAACCAATAATTAACTACACTGTACCATAATCAAAATTAATTTTATTCAACTATTAATACAACCAAACACTTTAACTAAAACTTCAACTAATATTGAAATGTCTATCGCTTTATTAGATCGCTATCTACCGCACTATCCACGAAACTTGACTTCACTTGACTACATCGATATGCTCGTAGGTAGCGTTTATACTTATACGGTAAACGAATTATCCCGACGTTGATAGAGAAATCAGCAGAATTCCATCGAAACTGCGCGAAGACTAGAATAATCGCGGCTGCGCGCGGTCACAATTGACTTATGGCTACCAGCGGCGGCCTGCATTATTTTTTTAGGGCATAATTTACAACAATACGGCCAAAAATTAAACTATGGAAAAATCAAGCATTTTAGGAGTTCACGTCGTTTAATAAGAACACGTGACACATCATTTTCATGATGGAACGGACACACTCATTAGTGCAAGATAGTGACCATCATCGACCTAAAGTAAACGATATTCCAGAATTGAAAATCGATATTCTTTCAGAGTATTTCATTTCTCGTCTTGAGTTGGAGCGAACATCAAAAATGTCACTCCATTTAGTGGACGAGGTACTAATCGACTGCATATCTGAAATTTTCCCGATTCCTCTGAATAAAGAAGAAAAACTTTCTTATTAGTCAGTGGGCTATGCTCGGATATACCTACACAGTAAGTTGAAATATGGTTCAAAAAACGAAAGAGTGTATTTCCTATGGAAAAAGTTATAAATGTGAAATCTCTCACTTCTGGATGTAAGAAAACATTGCAAGAAACATTGGCTCATCAACAAAAAGTATCTTTCAAATTCCAAACAATAATTATTCATCTCCATATTTTTCATCTGTGTTGTATACACTTCTGTTCATTGGGATTCCAGATTTTTCAAGAAACCCGAAAAATAGTGCAGGCCCTCATTCAGCATATTACTTATCACGAGTTCTTGCCGATTTTATTGGGACCCGAGGTTGTACGGCTGTTTGAGCTCGATTTGGTGCAAAAAGGATATTATGACGGATATGATGGAAGAATCAACCCTGGTATTGCAAATTCCTTCAGTGCAGCAGCATACAGGTTTGGCCACAGTATGGTCCAGAATTCATTCATAAGAACGGATCATAATCATAAACCTATATTCAATAGTAAGTATACTTAGTTAGTATATAGTAAAATAATGTTGCGTGGAAAAAAGAGGGAAAAGTTATATTTTTTAGTATTATATTGTAACGAATTAAAGTATTAACTGTCTTAAACAAATTTATTTTTGAACATCATTTCCAATCACAACTAATTTATACACAAAACTTAATTTACAACTTAATATACCTACAACTAACGCTTAATTTATCTTCACTGTTCGAATTCTTTATTTAAACGCACGATTCACTTTCTGAATACAGACTGCCACCCTGGACTGGAAGCGGCCTATTTATATCGGCAACGATCGCTCCAGATCTCTCTAGGGGTTTCGGCACTCATCTATACCTTTCGCGATGGTTCGCGATGAGTCATGTGTTTGCTGGCTGAGATATCGGTCAGGGCCGGCTTCAGATTCGTTACAATATTATTAAAGACGTTTTAAAACTTCAAGAAAAATATGATATCGCTTGTTAAGTACACGGATATACACTTATTTCCATTATTTTTGCCAGATGTATCTCTACACGAAGAAATGGACAACTTTGAAAACATCTGGAGCTTCGGTTCGATTGACAGACTACTTCTAGGTTTTTGTAATCAGCCGTCTCAGCGACGAGACGAGTTCATCTGCGACGAACTGACCAACCACCTCTTCCAACCATTCAACTTACCATTCGGTATGGATCTGACAGCGATAAACATCCAAAGAGGAAGAGACCACGGTATCCCTCCTTACACGTCCTGGAGGCAGCCATGCGGCCTGTCTCCGGTAAAAGAGTGGAAGGACTTACTGAGGATTTTCAATGTGGATACTGTGGAAAGATTCAGAAGGGTGTACAGACATGTGGACGATATCGATTTATTCTCAGGAGGGTTGGCAGAGAAGCCGGTTCGGGGAGGGGTCATTGGCCCTACTTTTGGTTGCATTATCGCTCAGCAGTTTCTCAATTTGAGGAAAGGAGACAGGTAAGAGAGCCACTCTTCTGAGTTTTCGAAGCAAAGTAGCTCGAAACAAAAAAATCTCATGAGCATTTTTTGCGATACAGCATAGTATATACGAAGTCAATGGGCTTGTTTCATAATTTTTAGTTTATAGTTCACTTGATAGAAATTTTAAATTGAAAAACAGTGAACTTTGTTTCATCTCTCTAAGTACCGTAGTTTTTCGTAATTAATTATTAAGAATCGAATGTGGCAGGGTGGTGACGTCACGCCCCTATTCCCGCTTCTTGTTCGATTGACCAATAGGAACAATAGATATAATCAACTTTGCCAAATCATAAAATTCACAAAGCCTATAATTAGCAATTCAATTGTGGAAGTGTACTCCAGAACATATCAATCCAAAAATGACCTGAAAAAATATTTTTCGGAATGTAAACTAATGACACGGAATATGCAGCAAAATAGGTACCCGCCGAGACCTACCGTTTACAAAAAAACGTTCTGTAATTATATAATTGTAACAGTTGTATTCATACCGAGTTGACAACAATAACAACAAAAATGACGTCTGTCAAATTGGATCATCAGATCTGTGATTGGATATTAAAAAACAATACACTTGGCAACTCCGCTCTAGACACGATCAATTTTATTGGTCAACAGACACGCGGCCAATTTAAACTGTTGCTTCTAGAATTTTTCTTTTTTCTGCAAATATAAAGAGATCTTGGGACCAATTAGGCTTAATAAGTATAATATACCCCTAACTCGATCAGTCTATAAGCAAACCAGTATCATTTTCCATAGCATGAAACAAGCCCATTCGAATGGCATGAAAACCAAATAGTTACCGAATGTCGGCAGTTTCTTTGTATGGTATGAGAGGCGTGGTATGATTTTTTTTCACGGATTTGTTTTATAAGTAGTGAAAAGTTTTTCATTAAGCTGTTCGGATTAACTTCGTATAGACTATACCAGGCTTTTTCTAAGGTCTTTCCGCTTTGATTCAAAAACGATGATTACGAACGTTTTAATTTAGTTCATATGCGACAGCCTTCATATATATTATAATGGAAGCAAACTCTTTTGAAGATTAAAATAAATATTACTGAAGTTTTTTTTCAACACTTCTTGAAGATGATCACTTGGTGATCGAAACACGTGGCGGTTTGGTATTGGGAAAAACTCCAGTAATATTAACTACTACACCTAAGGTTCCAAACAGTGCATCACAAGTCATTTACAGATGATGAGTGAAATCAAAAAACGAATGTGATACTTTTCTTCCCATATCAAAACAAATGTGTTATTATTGGATAGATAAAATAGCTCCCTAATGGAATGAATCATCGTGCAGGAATCACTTGAAAACCGATAGCTATCTCCCCACCATCCACAAAAAATATCTCAGAAATTCCATTTGCTAATTGGATCAGTAGCAAATGTATAATTGAATTCAATATATTGAAAGACTTTCCACAAATGTCAATTTGGTACACTATCATTTTACGAATATTTCACTTAGTCTAGGACACATGGATACTAAAGTCAGTATAACAAACAATACCAATGATTTTCTTTGTATCCATCCTACGACTCATCTACTTCCATTTTAGGTTTTGACATTACCTACTTACCATTACCTACAAAAACCCTTTGATTTATAAATGTATCGTCATCCAAGCCACAATAATGAACAAGGTTTAGTAACAGAGCCTTGTGGCCACACTCTGATTACAAAAAGGTCAAAAACGAATTCTTGAACATAACACCGTCATTGGGGTCATGAGACCAAAACTCATTTCAATTTCCACCGAATTATAATTAATTGATAAAGAAAGAAATATCTCAATTACGGAATATTTGGCTTCAAAAATTTGCTAGTTGGCTGATAAACATTTATCTACTTTTGAAGTCACTGAAGTTATTATATATGGAATAGACGTTGAGGAAACCTGAGTACAAGCTGTGTTTACTGAAAAAATTATTACAAGAAATACAAATTGAAAATAGACAAAAAAAGATCCACGCAATCGGATAATTAGAATTGTACTACTTGCTAGATGTTGACCAAGCTGATTAAGTACTTGCTAGTCGCCAGTCAAAACTGTTACTAAAAATGTTGCCAAGTTGACAATTCCACAACCTCCTCTCAGTTAATATCTAAGGAGAACCACCCACTACTGATCTGCTATCCTATCTGCAATACTGAAAATGTCTTTTCCTTGACGCTTGGTTGAACGAAGTATGAAACTGCTCAACAAAGGTTCTGGTCCTCAGAAAATATACTGCTTCAAGTCCTGCTCATCATACTCAATAAATGCGTCGATAAAGTTTTTCCTGTTTTATGCGCTACAAAAATAGGACTTTTACTGGAGGCTCAGCCATATTCAGAATTTATCCAGACAAAAAGAAAAAGCTTTCATATAACTACAGATCAATTGTTCCACTATAAGTAATTCAACAATCATAGAGTAAATTGTAAATCAGTTTGACTTTTTTCATTTTCAAACTTCTTTCTACTTGAGCAGAGATCAATTGGAGATTTTTTCATAACCTTTCCTCGAAATTATGCCAACTTCCAAAGTATCTGATGGCATTTAAAGGAGCATTCTTAGAGATGAAATGGTTCTTTCTCGAACAAACGGCGATGTATCCAGCCAGTTTTTGAATTGTACATCAATCACCTATTGGTGAAGGCCAGAACTTCGTTATACCTATTACTCCGCAGGCTCGAAAGATATTTTGGCTTGGGGTGACAGTAACTTAGTTGATGCAAATAAAATCCAGGAGTCGGTTTTCTCTGAGAATGAATATGTAGTGGTACTCGATGTACTAATAATTGTTGGGTGTCAAATCGAATAGCGATATGAGCTTGCATATTCCCATTGCTGGAAATTTGCTAAAAAGTATGAACCCTTCCAACAGTGGTTAGGTTAGGTTAGATCTAAAGTGAGTGGGTCTCTTCGACCCTGCACCGCAACCCACAAGAGTTTATTGTGGCTCACACCTATTGACACTCGGCCAAATAAACCCAGCTTCTTAACGAAGCCGAATAGTTTGTATGGCGAGTGATCTTTCAGGTCAAATGGTAATAGTACGGCTCTGCCGAACTCTAAGAACCTGGTTCGGTCCCCAGCGGGGCAGGCACAACTTATATGCTCTGCTGTTTCATCATTTTCCAAACAGAGGCGACACACACTGTCTTCCGACAGTCCACGTCTCTGCATATGCTGATTCAAATGACAGTGACCTGTAAGAAGGCCTGTTAGACATCGTAGTTCATCCCTACTGTAGTCCCACAACTGTTTGGTATCAAGCTTCGAAGGGTGAATAAACGCCTTGGAGTGAGTCAATCCTGGAAGATTTTGCCAGAAGTCCATAAATCTTCTTATCATCCAGGTGTTTAATGTTTGCTTGGCAAAGCCTATAGCGATGCCAGAGACAGGTTCTGGTCCGATGAAGCTGCTTACAGCAGCCTCCTGACTTTGGAGTCAGCAGCTTTATTGCCTTCCAGGCCAGTATGGCCAGGACCAGAAGACAATCTGTCGAGTATTCCTATCGAAGAGAGTCGTTTTTGACAATTTGCTACCAATTTAGACGTTTCTCGGTAGGAGTCAAGAACTACCAACGCCGCTTGACTGTCCGAGAATATTTTTATTGACTTGTGTATGCACAAGTCAATAAAAATTTAATAGCGTAAATTTCCGCTTGAAATACAGTCGCATAAGTTACTAGGCAGGTAGATATCTCTGTCCTGGGTTAATAATAGATATATTTTGTATGCTTCAGATTCTGGTACGAAAATGGAAAATTCCCGTCATCCTTCACGCCAGCCCAACTACAGCAAATTAGACGCATAACTTTTTCGAAAATATTGTGCCAAACAATGACTGAAATCGAATCCATTCAAACTTTCGTTTTCTTAGCAGCAGATGATATCCAGAATGTTCGAGTCCTCTGCGACAGCTCAGCAATGAAAAACTTCGACCTGTCTCCCTGGATAGAAACTACTTTGAAAGATATCGATAACAGAATAGGTTTTGACTTCGGTAGAGAAGGCACAGATCAACTTGAGGCAGACATTTCATCCAGAGGAAGGAAAATAGAAACAAAAAACAGGAATAAACCAAAAACTCAGTCTACTGCTACTAAAATAAATGTCAAAGGCTCAGCACCCAAATATTCCAGCGATGTTAAAACTGAAACTCACTATAATAGGAAGTCTTCGAACACCGCAGATAAGCCGTTGGAAGTCAACATCAAAATCCAGTATTTTTTCCCTACTACTACTACAACTAGTACGACGACGCGTCCTCGCAAAAAGAAAAAGCGGCCTCCAGTCGCCACCACTAACGACCAATCAATAATAATTACACAGAAGCCTTTCACAAATAAGAATCCAAACAAAATCAATCCATCATTTACTCAGTCTACTTCCCAAACGAATTCGTACGCTTCAAGGCCAAACATTCGTCCAACTTTTATATATGATAGACCGACTAGTGATAATGATTACAGTCTCCCAGGGAGCAGGCCTAGCCATATCTATAACCGCCCTGTAGGTACTGTGAATAATCAAAATTCGAACAATGTTAGACCTTTGCCTATTCATAACAGACCCAGCTCAGGTGGTTTCGATATAAATGATTATAGACCTACCAATTCATATAGCAGGCCTAGTAGTCCAATTGCTATCAATATTCCAAGCGATGAATACAACTATGGTTCAAATATCAACAGACCCATCAGTAACTATGATAACGACATAATCAGTGTTGATCAGTTCAGTTACAATAGTGGCAGACCCAAACCTGACACCAATTATCAGAACCCAGGGTTTGAGGACTATGATGAGGTGATTTTTGAAAGTGAGCCTTTCAGTACCTCACAAAGGCCCTACGTTTATAAACCAAGCAGCAATAACTACATGTTCAACTACTACAACACACCACAAAGACCTCAGCAAAGCAATTATGATCCAATTTCGGACTATTCATATACACAAAACGATAGATATGATATACCGAAAAGACCCAGTTTTGGACAACCCAGCCCAAGTTTCATAAACGACAAAGTTGGGAAACCCAATAAAATATACTCAGTTGGCCACGTTTACTCGTTAGATGACGATAGGATTCACGACAAGCTGGACTTTAAAACGAGAGTTGTGACTAAGATAAAGGACGATAGAAACAAAACTAGGTATGTGAAAATTTCTTCCGTCAAGACAAAAGCTATTTTGTCATCAAGTAATGCGTTTTTCGATGCCGTTTTGCAAAGGGACGGAGATGACGAAATTGTCGAGAGAGGAGATGAAGATGAACGAACCATGCGACTGGTGGATATTGATGTGACTCCCAGTGAAATGAAGTGAGTACCAAAAATAACGTTCAATTTCAGAAGTGAGCAAACACCAAAGAGTTGATTGAATTTTTATTATTTTGTTTTCAGTCATAATAACTGGTTGGTTTACAACGAAACTGATGACCCAATGCCAACATTCTTTATGCCTGACTTCAATCTCCATACATCGTGCACAGAAGAGATTCCTAAGCCAATAAAGTTGAAAACAAATGAAAATTTTCACAAAACGAATGATTTAAAATAAAATCTGGTATTGTTTAGTCGAGTTTCATTTAATTACTTTTTAGTTAACTTTTTGGTATATCAAGAGAGTATGATAATAATAAGAAATGAGGTTTTTCTTTTCTCTCCCAGAATAATAATTTAGTTGAAAATTTCGAAAAGCGATACATGAAAATGAATAGATATTAATCTGGCAACATGACACTTCGGCATACAGGTAACTACACTATAGAAATGGTGCTGAGAATTGGGTACATTGAAGCGAAATGTAACGTTTGATTTGGACTTATGTCGAGGGATATTAAAATCAATTTGGGACAAAAGAGTTGGCGAGTCCACGGCTGATAATTATTTTTGAACCGAGTAATAACGCTGTTGGAACATGACAACCATGCAAAGTTGATGGCAAAGTAGGTTAGCGTTACTGTTACAAATCCTATTCATCATAGAATCAAAAACATTCATCCCGTAATTTACCGATCAATTCATAGTGATACCAAAAGACTTCAATACCTATACTATAAATATCTGTTTCCAATGTGTTCCGCCATTTTGAATTTTTCCGTTGAACGTTTCCATTTGATTTCCATATCATGAGAGTGTATAAACATAACTAGTTCCCATTTCGAATTTGAAACGTCATTTCTTTTTTCATTTCCCTTTCAACAAACCCTTTCATATTATAAAACAAACAACAAACGCATCTACATCATGGGAGTACCTATATAAAAATAACTAGTCCGCCATATCGAATTTACAATGGTGCCATTTTGTTTATTCTGTTCAGGACATCAAGCCCTTTCAATTAAGCATCTTCAGTTCATTGAAGTTGGAGCCCAGCTCCCTTACCCTTTTGGCTAATACCTTTCAATTAATCGTGGATTGCAACGAGAACGAAACGGAAAGTCGGTAAAATTTATGTTGCAAGATTTTGACATGAACAGTATTTGAAAAGGACATGGACAAGTTTTGTATAGGACATGTTCAGGGCATTGACAGGCCATGAACAGGACATTGACAAGATATAGGCAGGACATGGTCAGGATATGGACAGGATATAGGCAGGATATGTACAGGACATGGGCAGAATATGTACAGGACATGGTCAGGACATTGATAGAGCATTGACAGGATATGAACACTTACTCCATTAAATGTAAAACGTGAATACAATAATAATCTTTATTATAGATCTCATCTTGTTAGAAACAAAAACAAAATAGTTATCTTTTCATCTCCTAAACCAAACTAGAAGCTCCCAAACACTCCCCGTCATTCTTCCCACACAAACTGGGAGAATTTCCTTTGGAACTACCATAAACTTTAGTGGAATAACCTGAATCATTATTTGTATCTCTATCGACACTATCTTGAATGTTCGTTCCAGCATAGTTCATTTCGAGCCTAGAAGCACCGGCGAGACCTGTTTCATTTCCGTAGACCTTAGCGCTAGTGAGCACCCGTCGTTCTGCAAAACCCGTACTCAATTTTTCTGCAGCCGTTGCGTTCTCGTAATACTGAATTTTATATGGTTCAACGAATCCGAGCTCTGACTGGTACAAGGGGCCTCGTTTACTGGAACTAGGCTGGTCAAAACCTCTGAACGGGGCAGACTCCCGGATTTCAACTATGGGCTCGATGTACCTTGGACTTTGGTTCACCGTTAGCGTATTCACTATGGTAGGACTGTACACACCACTCCTGCTTCTCGGAGGCGCGTCGCTAGGGAACTCCAGCGGTGCTTGTGCCGGATCGGAGTCTTCAGGGGGCTGCTTCCTCCTCTGCGGCATGTCTTCGTCGTCGCTCGTTTCGCTGTTGTCGCCGTTGTTATTAGAAGCATTCAGTTGTTGTATTCTGGCAACTAGTTCCTTTACAGATGGTCTTTGGTGGTCGTCGCCTTCTGGGGGAGGGTCCAGCTCGTCCATGCTCCTAAACATATAAATAAATACTATTATGAACGTTGCATTTGTGCTTTTTGGGGTATTTACAAGGAAATGAAGTCAACCATTGTGTTTGTGTTTGCGTTGATCAATTGAAACTCCAATCCTACGTTTATTATCCCGGCATCAATAAGCAGTGACCATTCCTCACGTAATATGTGATATTGGGTTCGAGGATCAAAGAGATGACCCAAAAAGCTAAGAAAGACAATCCTTAGCATTTTTTCAGTCGAGATTCCAGATGTAGTGCGGCAAGCCAGTTGATTTTTACACAGGACAATAACTTCAATTGAGAGGTCTGGATAGAGTCTGCGGAGATGAGAGAAAATGTTGGCATTTCATTCGTTTTCCTCCTTATTTTCAGGCAATATTCGTTTCATACGAGGCTGACAACTCCACAACGAAAATCGTCCTCCCACCTTCCACGCAATATGTGATATTGGTTTCGAGGATACAAAGAGATAACCCAAAAAGCTAGGAGAGACAAAGCTGGGAGAAATTTCAGATGTAGTGCGGCAAGCCAGTTAATTTTCACAGACGCCAATAACTTCAAGTAAGAGGTCTGGATAGAGTGTGCGGAGATGAGTGAAAATTTTGTCATTTCATTCGTTTTCCTCATTTTAAGGAAATATTCGTCTCACATGAGGCTGACAACTCCTAGACGAAAATCGCTCTGGAACGCCGTAGTCTGAGCAAGACTTACCCTTGGGTAGCTGCAGCAGTAATCTTGGTGGTTTTAATGAACGGGTTCCAACTCGCTGACAGAGTTGTGATCACCTCGTTTAATGTCGAAAACTAAACCAACTTCACCGCCACTCGGGTAGCTGATTAAAAAAGAATTTCTCCAATTCCTGCCTTCTCATAGTTAAGGACCATGCAGAGAAAAGATCTTAACAAGGGTGACCAGAACACTTCTGTTATGTAGGCACTCAAACGTTCACGACCTACTGTTATCGTGGAAATTATGAGCGTTTGGAATGCTAACTTCTATGGGGAAGCATATTTTTCGGGTCTTCACGTCGAGTACATTCAACTCCTTCGAGCCTACTTCAATACTCCAATGGAGTAGGCTGACATCGAAACGACAAGCGTATTTCGAGCAGCAACTTCCACAACAGTTTGTGTGCAGCGTTGTTCCACTCTAAGGTAAGTGTACATCCCTTCGAAATCGAGATAGTGCAGGATGCTTCCGTCTACGAATTGCACATCCTTTGCGCAATCCCCGAATTGTCCTCTCTTGAGATGAACCATTGCACATTCCATGTATTCTTTCACCTCCTTTGAAGAATTGATTACATCCTGCTTTTTCAGAGGCATACGATTTAAAGTCATCCATATAAATGGGTGACCTCATGCTCCGGTCAAATGATTATACAAAGTAATCCGGAAACTGCTGCTCACTTTCCAGCCAGTAGTTGAGAACTCTGGATAGATGGCGTTGGATGCTGGTTAGTTTTGTCCTTCTTAAACATTTATCGTGTCGCTTAGTAACTGTATTCGATTATTAATAAATAACTTTTTAAATCTCGATTCAGTGAAAAATATAACAGAAAGTTGCCACACATTGCATCAGCGAATTATCACAAATTCAGCGGTGATTTATGAGGTAATGCATTAAAATCAAAGGAGCAACAAAATTACAATATTTTGAACGTTTGTTTGAAGGTGATTGACAATGTTTCATGATGAATTTCACTAGTTCGGACTTCCATTGTCTAATATATACCGCATACATGGTGTCCAACAACGTATTCAGCCAAGCTAGCGTAGAGATACGCAACATATGGAAACCCATCATCAAGCAAAAAATGGCCAACTCCCGCCAAACGGTCATTTCCCACTGAACCAGTGAAGCGGAAAAATGGAAAGCGGGGATAAGTGAAAGTACTAGAACGACCAATAAATAGTCATCTCTCGGAGGAATCAGTCCAGTCATCACCCGAAGACGATTGTAGATACTAACAATCGAAACGTCATGAACTAACCTAACTTTTTATTTTATTTTCATTTTTATTTCTTTATTTTTTTTAATTGTTCTATTTTTACTTGTATTTTATTTCACTACTGTTTCATTTCAGGTTTAATAACCCAAATTGAGAAACATTCGCCTTTCACGGAGTATTGATTAAGAATTTTTCTCAGTAATCATAATAGGATAATCATATAGTAATGGAATATTCTCCTCTTTGTTTGATAATAAATTGCAACTTAAGGGTGTATTTTGCGAGGGAATCGAAAGCTTCATTATATTCCAAGTCGGTGAGGCTAGGAATCCAAACCAAAAAGACTTGTTCAGTATTCTTTTTTTAAGGACAACATACAAGCACTAAAGAAAAAACTTTATCGCTCTAAGAGCGGTGCCTGTGCGAAAGTAGCGATTCACATTGTATTCCAATCGCTGAAGATTTAATTAATTTCGAAAAACGTTCTCAGGAAGTTCATTCCACATAAACGCAGTTCTCCAGATGAAAGAATTCTTAAACGGTGAACTTCGAGGTTTATTGAGATGAACATCAAAACGATGAGCAGCCACAGTTCTCCGCGTATTTCTGACATGTACCGCTCTTAGTGGAATCAAATGTGCCAAGTCACTTAAACCCCTCTCCTGAAAGTATATATAAAAGAAAGACAAACCCTCAACTTTTCTTCGATGTTCCAGCGTATCAAGGTTGCAAGTGATGTTCGTGTCTCCAATCAGTCGGATGGCTCTTTTCTGGATGAAATCCAGAAGCTTCAGGGCATGTTTGACGAAGCAACTCCATACATGAGAACAATACTCTGAAGAAGGTCTGATTTGAGCTTCATAAAGCATCAAAAGTTGCCGGGGTTTGTACAGTTTCCTGGTTCGGAACAGTGTTCTAAGCTTTTGAGAAAAAGCCTTTGCCATTCCAGCGACATGATTGTGCCAAGACATATTGGTGTCCATTATAACCCCCAATAAACTTATCGAAGCAGAAAGCGGAATTGTCTCTCCTGACATTATTATATCTGGTTTGGATACCTTTATACTTTTAGAGAAACCCGATGCCTGGGTTTTTGTGGTATTGAATTGAACCTGGTTACTTTTTTAAGATATACAACCTCCTGCTGCCGGTGAAGATGTGCATCCACAGCCGATGTCTTGCAATCCAAATGGAATGGCGAAACAAGTGTGCCGTCGTCAACAAAGCAATATATTGGATTTTTAATTTTTTCCGATAAGTCGTATATACAATAAAAAAATACGTTGATTATAAAAGTACTCCGGATAAATCCATTTACAGCCACTTGCAGGAAACGTTCTTTCAGGAAGCTGAAGAGCCATAAACTGATTCGACAAGCCATAGCATCGAAGGGCCAGCAAACCATCATGCCACACACGGTCAAAGGCCTTAGAAATATCAAGCGCAACAGCTCTTGACTCTCCATGTGTCAAGGATATGGTCTACGGCTTTCTCCATGATCTTTGCTATCACTGATAGCAAAGCGACTGGTCTATAGTTATTTGGAAGATTTTTCTTGCCCTTGTTGAAAATGGGCTGAACGCGAGCAATCTTCCTACCAATGAGAGAGTTTTTTGGCAGTTCAGTACCAATTTGAACGTTTGTCGTGCCAGTGATTTAAGTGTAAGATTGGTTTCCTCCAATCTCCCCACACATAAATCAACTTCCTTTATTTCTATGTTAACATATCAGATAATAAAATAAGTTTCAACTTGGTGGTGATAAATACTTAATCTTCTGTCGACCTCATGATGGGTTCAGCAATACTCTATATAAGGTCATCATCAAAGAATTCAGTAGCATGTAAAACTGTGAATATTCTATCTATCATATAGATTGATAACGTATATACCTGGTCGTTTGCAAAGGTGGCTTATCCATTTGATACAATAACTCCAAACTCCTGGACCTCGGCAATGGACACTCCTTTTCCCTACTACTAGACGCCAAAACTCTTTCCGATCTTCTACCATGTTGTCCCCTTTTCAGTTTTTGCTCCAAACCGATTACTCTTTGACGAAGTCTAAAGTGGGCTCTTTGGAGTTCCTTCTTGTCTCTTTCTATGCGTGCTTCTAAATGTTTAAATAGTGGTGCGCAGTAACAAGTGTAACCTACACCTACGGGACCTTTGCATATGTTTCCTAAAACAATAAATAGATAAGTTATCATATATTCATGAATAAACCGAACGAGTCAACACGTATACCTTGCAATATATGAAGACTATTCGAATAAACTGGAAAAAATGTTTATTTAGCAATACAAATCTAGTTTTTTTTTCAACATGTCAGGTTTTCACCGTTCCTGTCACATATTTGATGATTTTTTCGCCTTCATCAAGAAAACCTGACTTCCGACAACAGAGAAATCGCAAGGCATACTTCTTCCATGGTCAAATTATCGTATTTTTTTCAAGAACAACACTCAAGCACTACAGGAAAATCCTTAAGGCGCTTTAAAAGCGGTGCCTCTGCGAAAGTAGCGATTTAGGTTGGGTTTGAATCGCTGGAGATTAAATTCATTTGAAAAATCGTTCTCTGGGAGTTCCCACATAAATGTCTTCCTCCAAATGAAAGAGTTCTTAAACAGTGAGGTTCGAGGTGTACTGCTCCGGTGCTTGAAATCCTCCATGTGTGCGTTCATCACCAGGTGCGTAAAGACGCTTTGCCTTGTCGCGGATCAAAAGATCACTTGGTGCTACTCCTTCCAGGTTACGATCTTCAATCCATAGTGATAAGGCAGCTTCCATTTTTTCTATTACTGGATCACAAACAAATTTTGCTGATAGTGAGCTGCAAGCTATAGAATTCCTCATTTTGTCTTCGGAGTTCTTCATGAATTGTACAGTCGGTTCATTAACATTGAAAAAGCGTGATATGGATGCAAAAGACTCACCAAGGCGTAAACGGTCTAGAATTTCTATTTTTACTTTGAGCGGAACATTTTTTTTTTACTTGACATTANAACTTTCATAATATTGAAGCCATGAAGCTGTTGTATTTCACCTACGTACGTTCGAAGATAGAATATGCAACTATCGTCTGTAGTCCATTTTATGAGATTCATAACATAGCCATTGAAAGAGTTCAAAGAAAGTTTTGTAAATTTCTAATTTTCAGAATAGATGGTTCTTACCCTGAGACAGGTATCAGTAATGATGTCATATATGAACGTTTTGGAATTTTTAGTTTAGGGCATCGCAGAAAATGTGCGTCGCTCATATTTTTATTCGAGTTAGTGAATCAGAGAGTTGACTGTCCTGAAATTCTTAAACAAATTGATTTCAATGTACCACGGCCAGCTTCACGATCTGTCGTCATCAAAGCAATATGTCCAATATTTCCAATAAGTCTTTGATATACAATTAAAAGAGGGTTGGATCCCTGGGGAACACCAGCGTTGATGGTGTATTCGAGAGATATTCCTCCATTTTCAAACAAATACAATACGCGTCAGTTACAAATACAAGTGGTATCAAAACATAGCAAGGAAGTTTCAATTCCCAATTTCATGATAATCCCTTACCACCAGCTACATTCGTCAATTTATCAAATTGAATTCTTTTGATTGAAATATTTTGGTTTTATTTTAAAAACGAATGACATTACGGAAAGCAATGTTGTGTATTACTTTGCCAATGCCATTTGTTCATTCATTCCAGTAAACCTTGAATTATTTTTCTAAAATTCAACAACACAAAATGGGATAATTATACAATTTATATAATTAGAACTCTGAAGAAACTTTTGTTTGTTGACAATCAATATACATATAAAATACGCCCACCATAAATTTAAGCATCAAAATTCCAATACACTTATTATACTATTGCAGAAAATAAACAAAAACCTACACGCTCTATAATTCATCAAATATCCATATGTACTAGTCGAATAATTAGTTTACAGAACAATTATGTTTTATTAGATACTAGAAATGTTTTTGTCTGTAGTAATTAAATATTTGAAAGATCCAATTAAAATATTAAACGGCACCGTAAAAATGACTAGCTACGATGTAAAGACCTATTAGTAAATGGAGTGATGTCAAAAACATAAATCGTGAGGTCAGCTTGTGTTTCTATTTAATGAGTCGAGCAAAAAACCATTTTTTCACGATGCTCGTGAATACAAATTTATACTTCCCCGAAATCGTTGTATACTACTGAAATATTTTAGAAACGAACACGGAGCAAATATAGACATAAGTCCGAGTAGGTATGGTATAATACAATGTTGATTGTCAATTCATTTAATATGTCCAATAGGGACAGGTCTTTTACTTTCACACATCGTTCCATTTTCCTGCAATCTGTTATTTTGGATACCTTTAACGTCCGGTGGTCATTATTGATAGTTGTTTCGATAACAGAAACCTGAAAGAATACTTGAAAACTTTCTGGGAAACCAAAAAAAGAAATGATACAAAATATCATTCAATACGACGTGGTAAATAGCCCCTAGGATATCTAATTAAAGACAAAACCCAACATGAATAGGTGTGAGCCACAATAAACCCTTGCGGGTAATCCCTGAAGAGTTAGGATGAAATCAAAGGATGCAATCTTGCCAAGATCACCCTGGGCGACCCTGGCAAGCTGGCGCCNCGAAGTGCATCATGAACAGGTTTGCGATCACGGGCGATAGGGAGGAACCCATCGGAGCTCCCTCTACCTGTTTATAGATCTGGTTGTCAAATATGAAATAGGTGTTTTTAAGGCAGTGCTCTGCTAGATCCGTGACATGTTGCGGAAAGCTATGATCAGTTCTAATGGTGGCTAGGGCTTCGTTTATGGGTATACTCGGGTAGAGGGATTTTATGTCTAGGCTGGCAAGGATGTCGGTGTCGTTTAGTTTGATGTTTTTAATGATGTCCAACAAGTGCTCTGAGTTTCTCACATAAGATTCTGCCAGCTCCGTCTTTGGTTGCATGATTTTGGATTTCCGCTTTCCGCAACATGTCACGGATCTAGCAGAGCACTGCCTTAAAAACAGTAACATTTTTCTCTCATCAATTGATATGTTTTATTGATGCCAAATTGGCCATTGTCTGCATGCTGCTGCATAACTAAATCTTTGATTTGGGAAGCTGGGACGCATAATTTGTATCCCGGATACAACAGTTTTATGATAAACATACCATTTTAAGACTTGATTTCTTTTTGCTACCGATATATCAGTGTTATTTTGAATAATAGCTATCTTACTGGCAAGCTTTTCATCCAATAACTGGTCTTCTGTGATAGTTTTGAAGTTTTCTTCAACCAGTTTAAATTCATTTGATAATTGCAACATAGACATCTCAACCCCAGATAGAACATCAGGAGTTGGTTTTCTGTTGGACGCTATGGGATTACGTGATAAAATATCAGCCACAATATTTTCTTTGTCCGGACAATGTTGTATGGTCAAATCATACTCTTGAATAAATAGTACCCAACGAGTTAACCTAGCACTTCGCATTCGTGTACTCATTGAAAATATTAAAGCTTTATGGTCGGTTAATACCGTTATTTGATACCCTAAAATTAGAGTTCTCCACTGGTTAAGGGCATATACTAGAGCCAATAGCTCTTTTTCTGTTACCGTATATCGTAGTTCGCTACCTTGCAGCATTCTACTTGTGAAAGCTATTATTTGTTGATCCGCTGAAAGTTCTTTCAGTTGGTACAAATACGCCCCTACAGCAAAATCAGAACTGTCACATTGTAAAAAAAAATGTCTTCGTAAAATCAGGATGAATAACCATTTTTGTTTTCAAAAAGGCCTCCTTGATGTGTTGAAAAGCCCTTTCCTCGTCATCTTTCCATTCCCACTTAACAGATTTTCTCAATAATTCAACCAACGGTAATGTCAATTCAGAAAAACCATTACAGAAACGCCGACAATAATTTATTAAACCCAAAAATCCTCGTAATTCCTTTATATTTCGTGGGCGAGGGAACTCGCGAATAGCCCGTACTCTATTTGGATCTATTTTTACTCCCTCCGAGTTGATAATATGTCCCAGAAAACTAATTTCGCTTTCCGCAAACTTCGATTTACGCAATTTTATAGTCAAATTGGCTTTCTTAAATGTATCCAAAATTTTCCGTAAATGAATAATATGTTCCCCAGGGCTGGGCGAAACAACCAATAAATCATCCACGTACATTAAAGTGAATGTTTCTACTTCTGCACCTTAATTTTTTTTTAGTCCACACACGAACGACGCTACTGATGTAGGGGAGAGGGTGAAGGATTTGAACAGTTTTATTGTCGAGGTCAATAAGTTAGTCAGCTTTTTATTTATATTCATTAAACCTTGTAGAAACCGTAACTTGATTATTTTTTATTGATCTTTTGTAGGTAACATTAATATAAAACATCAAACAAAATCAGAGGAATCCATTTTATTCTATTACCATATCTGTTCAAAGGCTCCTGTTGGTGGGGAG